ATCATTAAACTACTTCCAAGAAAGTATCCAGGCTTTTTCAGCATAAACATTTCTACACTGAAAATGTAACTTGAACTTAACTCTATGGTTAGCTATTTTTTGAATGAGTATAATATGTGCTTTCATTTATGACGGGGCAAAGATGAGTGAAATTTTTAACTTCATTATGTCTATCATCCAAAGTAATTTAGAAGATAGTCCTGCTACACGGAGACTCTTCTGTGCTAGAATGCTAATAATGACTAATGTCTGGGGAAACAGAAAATAGGGCTGCTAGCAAGGACTGGTTTTAGCACATGTTTTAGGATTTTTATTTGAATAGAAAGTGCTGTTCTAATTCAAAGGCAAAGTACTTCTGGACCTTCGGAAACTTCTCGGCTGTACCTTTTAGGTTACAACACAAATAGGCTTTGCTTTTGTTTTCCAGCTTTCAGTCCTTCAACCCAACTGAACCTCAAGCTGAACTTCATTCTTTCCTTCTTGCTGATCAACTCAGCAAGGCTGAACCCATCTTTTGTTATATCTGTGAAACATTTTGGTCAGCACTCAGTTGCAAGTGGAACCCTGCTACCCATCGCCTAGAAATAAGGGAGCCAAAGAATCCTGCTCAATGGATCAATAACATGTCCAAAGGGAAGACAGACTACTGCTGGGGGCAACAGAGGAAGATGTGGACATCAGCTGATTACAATAAGACCAATTCATTTAGAAGCAGCTCTGTTCTTCACACAGCCGCAGGAGTGGGTGAAAAGTGCCTTTCCAACTGGGTCCTTTCTTTGCCAGGTTACTGGTTCTTCTTGGGAGAAGGAAAAGGTGAAGCATTTTGATGAACCCTTTGCTTCACCTTCCTTGGCCAGAAAAACATCCTGGCAGATCCCATACTTCGCGCTGCGCAGCTCATATAAACAAACACATTTGGCAGAGTGAATGTCAGAGAGTGAAAATGCCAGTGTTTGAGCAAGGATATGGGGTACATGCAGTAACAGAAAAGCACTCAGTAGTAATTCAGTATTGCAAACAATAGTAATTTGCTAACCCCCATCTCCATTTCTTACATAAAATAGAGGGACTCTGCTTCCATAGCTGTGTATGGCAATACAGGTGCCATCGGTGCTGCTGTGAGCGAGCTGCACACGCTGGTTTTACAGCACTCTTTGAAAGATACAGTATTGCAGTGTAGTCCAGCCGGTGGAGCCTGATGTGGCCTCCAGGATGCCTGACCCATCACCTCAGAGGCGATGAGAGCTGTTGTCAGAGTAGTCAAACTCCTTCTGTGGCACGCAGGTCTCATGGCCTGAGCAGAGCTTCCCTGCCATGTATGCCATGCATACGTCCCACTGTACAATGAACTTTTGAGACCCTATTTACAGCATGAAACCCTTGAAAGAGTGGTACCTAGAAACTGAACTAGCTGAAACTGGTAGCTGAACTGAACCCTTTCCTGGCAAGAGGAATGCACCTGTTACATCAGCGCCCTGGGCCATATATATGTCAGTAGCTGGTTAACAAAACCCAGGCCTGGAAACAATGCTGCAGAGTGTATAGCTTTGTTAATGGGTTTGGTAGCAGGACCAATAAAGTTCATTGTTGAGTTTCCCTACAAATGGCTTCCTTTGTGCTGTAGCTTTTTACGTCAGCTTTTAACTAGACCTACCAGTTGTACTAGCCAGACTGAGGGCATGATCTTCCCAGAGACTCTGGTTCCCATGAAGTGAAAAGGAGACTTCTGAAACATCCCTAGAATTGCCCTTGGGCTTCTGAAATGGTCCTCTTTGCCTAGGAAACCTCTGTGTCCTCTCCCCCAGGAAAGGAACAGAAGAAAATCAAGGCAGAGTGAATCGTGATTATATTTTTTTTTAGGACTCGGGGGAAATGTTGATTTTAAGGCTCACGTGAGAAATAAACAAATCCACCTGCCACTCACAGTGGGCAGTTGGGTCAGTCTGGCCCTACCAGGCCAGCTCACTGACTCATCTCAGCTCTTCCTCTGAGGACTTCAGCCGCCGATGGCTCAGCGGATTCACTCCCCACATTCAGAGAAGAGCATGGGGCAACCAGGCTGCCCCTGCAGAGGGAGGGACTGAGCTAGCTCAGCCCTCATGGGATGTACTCATGAGCTGCAGGCTCACGGGGTAGGAAGCAGATAGGGATGAGGCAGAGTCACTCCCAACAGGCAGTTTTTGAGTGAGAACCTTTTGTGTATGTAACCACGAACTGTCAAGAGCACAATTTGAAACTGACTGTGCTGCTCAAAAGCGAACACTTGGAGCAGGCACAAATTATTAAACAGCTCCTCTTGATCCAGGAACAGGTGAATTGCAGGTACTTTCCCAGAGAGGGGGAAGAATGCTGCTCAGAGACCGAGCTAAGTCTATGGGAGGGTGTCGAGGAGGAGCTGCAGCAACATTAAAAGGGTTAGCTTACCCTTCCCTCTAGATCTGGAGCAACGCACAGTGAAGAGGGACGAATATCCACGTAATTGCACCGCTCTCCTACGAGGACGACTGAGCAAAGTCCCACTCCGTTTCCGCATTTATTTGGTTTTGCCCTGGTTTAGGGCGAAATTTCAACAGCAGCAGCAGCAGCAGGAGGTCGGCAGGGCCAGGGGAGCTCCAGCCCCCCGCGGCCCGGGCCCGGCGCTGCACTTCCCCCGGCGGCCAGCGGAGGCTGCTGTGGGTCGCCTCGGCCCCGAGGGCCCGCGGGGCTCTGGCCCCGCCGCGTCCCTCCCCGGGCACGGCGGGCAGCTGGAGCCCCGGCCCGGGAGCGCAAACGCAGCGCCCCGCCTCGCAGTGACCGCCCTTGCCAGGGGAAAAAAGCCAAGGGCGCAAGGGGGCAGCTGGCAGCTTCCTCCCGAATTAAAGCCCCCGGGGAAACTCAGAGCAAGCCGCGGACCGGGGAGCAGAGGGGAGGCGGAGCAGGATTTAGGGGCGATGACGGGAGCACTCGGTCGCCCCGCCGTCAGTGACGAGGGGGCCGCTGCGCACAGGTCCGCCTGGAGCCGCGCAGTTTGCGCGGGCTCCCGGGCCGCCGCGGGCACGGCGCGGGTGGGCCGCCCTTCGGCCGGGTGGCCCTGGCCGGTACCTTGGGGCGATGAGGAAGGGCCGGGGCTCCTCGCAGCCCTCCTGTAACTTGCCCTCGAGTTTTGCTGTGAAAACAAAAGCAAAGCAAACAACTCCCTTCCCCCCAGCCCGAAAATAAAGCTCGGGCACCACCCGGGCTGGTCGAAAGGGCTCCATTGTCGTTTTTAAATGAGATATCTTTGCAACCGCTCGCCCCTCCCCGAGCCAGCGGGGAGCCGCCCGTATCCCTGGAAGCGAGAGGTAGCGGGGAACAAAAGGCAAACTCCGAAGTGACATTGAAAATAAAAGGGAGCTTTGGTTACCCCCAGGGAAAGGTCGAGGGGGAAAGGTCGCCTTCCCGCCAGCGGCACGTACTCCCGGCGGGCGCGGGGGAGCGCCCCCGGGCCCGGCCGCCAGCTGCGCGGGGTCCCCG